TGTGTACCCAGGTCATTAACTGGGTGTGATTGATTTTCTGGAGGAAAACCTTAACTCCACAAACTGATTCAGAACTCTCACTTAACAGTGCTTAAGGCTCTTTCTTCTGGAGCAGGAAAAAAATGTATGGGCTGAGAGACGCCTGAGTCAAGTTTCCCTTTTCATTCACCACTGTTCCTCACAGTGAGGATCCTTCTGTTGCCTGGTCTGGGAGGAAACGGGTGTGGGCTTCATTGTGAGTCGAAAGCTGCATCCCGGTGCCTGAACCAAAGGGCATGTCCAGGAGGTGAGGAAGGAAAGAAGCCACCACATTACGTCTCATAAAACCAAGTCAGGAAGTGTGGAGTTACAGGACTTCATAGATGGGGCTCTCTGTCTTTCTAGCCAGATGACAATTAAAGTTCAGAGCTAGAAAGAAGTATTTTGTTGGCTGTTTATAAAACCACCTGGCTCTGTATTGTTCTCCGTTTCTGAACAAATTAATTAGCACAGGGTGGAGAAAGAGCAGGATTTTTGCAAAGGGAAGGTGTGCTTTACTGGAAAGGCCAGACTATTTTCACTTTGGTTTGTGTTTTAGACTCAGAAATTTCCTGATGGCTCTGAAATCCTGGGGGACAAGTCGTTTCTATTTATGTTCTGTAGGAAGCACGTAAAACACAGTATTTTTCAGTGGGAAAGAGAAGGAGGTGATGTGGAATTCCTGTGGGCTGATGTGAGCTCACTGGAGCCCTGGCTGATGGAGTGTTCAAACTGGAGTTTGTAATACCCAGGGATGGAGCTGCAAAAACCAGTCAAGTAAAAAAATACCTTTGGGATGTTATCCTGATGTGCCAAATTCAGATTTAGGCTCCCCCTTAATACCCCCCCCCCCCGCCCCAAGAAACTAGTCCTGGCTTAGGGACTTGAATATACTAAAGCTTTAAATTTTATTAACAGTTTTTTGAGTAATAGCAGTAATTTTACATACTTAGTTTTAACCAATATTTCTCTTTCGTGGTCCTAGTTTATGAGGCAGATGTGGTATAGTAAAACACGGTACTTTCAAAAGACAAAACTTGAAATATGTTTGTTATTGAGAAAGGTAGGCTCAGGTGTGTGTTTTTTAATAATCTGAATGGCCAGATTATTATGACCACCCCATCAGTACAATGAAGTGAATTAGTTATGCAAATAATAATAATAAAACCTTCAGAGTATTTGCTTAGGAAGTTTTCAATATCCAGTAGTTTTGGAAGTGTCAATGAAGTACTGATGGGGTGGTCATAATAATCTGGCCA